AGGCGTGAGCCACCACGCCCAGCCAATGCTGGGCTTAATACCTAGGTCATGGGTTGATGGGTGCAGCAAACCACCGTGGCACACGTTTACCTGTGTAACAAACCTGTACATCCTGTACATGTAACCTCGGAACTTAAACAAACAAACAAACAAACAAACACCCCAAACTAGAGGAAGTTTGCAGTGTCAAGAGAGGAGTATATAAAACATTAGAACAATTCACATGTTCACTTACCTCACTGGGTTTTGAGTCAGGACCCACCTTGCTGGAAAGTGTGTATGTCTCAGACTCAGATTTTGATTTTACAATCTCTCTAAACCACTTTTGATATTGTTTCTGGACCTGGAACATCAAAGGAAATACCTGGATGAGTTTTGCTAACATTGGTGAAGAGCAGAAAGGTCAGTGAGTCAGGAAGAGGATAGAGATGTATTATTATTTGTTTATTTTCATAAAACATGGTCTATTCGTACAATGGAATATTATTCAATTTTATAAAGGAAAGAGATTCTGACACATATTCTACCACATGGATGAACCTTGAGGACATCAGCCTAAGTAAAATAAGCTGATAACGAAAGGCGAATACTGTATGGTTCTACTTATATGAGGTACCTAAAGTAGTCAAATCCATGTAGACATAAAGTAGAATAGCAGTTTCCAGGGCCTGGGGGGAAGGAGAGTGGGGAGTTAGTGTTTAATGGGGATGGAGTTTCAGTGTGGGAAGATGAATAAAGTTCCGGAGATGGATGTTGGTGATGGTTGCACAACATTGCGAATGTGATGCTATCTTATGCTTAAAAATGGTTTAAAAGGTAAATTTTATATTATATATGTTTTACCACAATACAAGTTTTCCATTACAGGGTATATAATTGTTGTAGAAAATTTATGGCCGGGTGTGGTGGCTCACACCTGTAATCCCAGCACTTTGGAAGGCCGACGCGGGCGGATCACCTGAGGTCAGGAGTTCAAGACCAGCCTGACCAATATAGCGAAACCCCATCTCTACTAAAAATACAAAAATTAGCCAGACATGGCGCATGACTGTAACCCCAGCTATTCCGGAGGCTGAGGCAGGAGAATTGCTTGAACCTGGGAGGCGGAGGTTGCAGTGAGCTGAGATCGCAGCACTGTACTCCAGCCTAGGAGACAGAGCAACACTTCGTCTAAAAAAAAAAAAGGAAAAAGAAAAGAAAAAAATAGAAAATTTATAAGATATGCATATGCAAAAGAAAGAAACTAGAAGTTACATATAATTCCTCAATCTAGGGAAAATCACCAATAATATTTTGGTAGTACCCTTCAATGTGTCTTGGTTTTGGGCACCTCAGAAGCAGACCCTGGGAACCAAGTGGAGATGAGTTCTGCCTCCCAATTCAGCCTCCTGAAGTGCTGGGATTATAGACATGAGTCACTGTGCCTGGCCCCAGTTTCTCTTTAACAAGGCAGTTAACCTGCAGTACAGTGAAGTTCAAGACCTCATCGTGCCCACTGCTGTTCCATGGTTTGAGATGTGAGTTGCAAAAACTGCAATAGCAGACTGGGATGGATCTATGAGTTTGCCCCTGAAGACAGCCAGTGTTACAAGGAAGGCTGTGTGATTCTGGAATGTGACCTAGTTCGGGACAGTGAGGGCTCTGAGGGGCATGTATCATCTGATATGTCTTGAAGAAAAAGAGATAAATCAGCCTAGCATGGTGGCTTACACCTGTAATCCTGGCACCATATACTTGGTATTGACTGGAAGCTTTTCCTTTTTCTCTTTTTTTTTGAGATGGAGTCTTGCTCTGTTGCCCAGGCTGGAGTGCAGTGGTGAGATCTTGGCTCACTGCAGCCTCTGCCTCCTGGGTTCAAGCGATTATCCTGCCTAGCCTCCTGAGTAGCTGGGATTACAGGCACCTCCATCATGCCTGGCTAATTTTTTTGTAGTTTTTAGTAGAGATGGGGGTTTCACCATGTTCGTCAGGCTGGTCTGGAACTCCTGACCTCAAGTGATCTGCCCATGTCAGCCTCCCAAAGTGCTGGCGTGAGCCACTGCACCCTGCCGATTGGAAACTTTTTCTGAAATAAGGCAGAACTGCTTGGGTGTCTTTTTCCATGTAACTTAAGAAAAAAAAAAAAAGAATTCATGTGAAGTGGTGTGTTAGCTGCATTGTTGATCTCCATGATTCACTCCTTCGTAGTTGTATTACACTCTGCCTTAGTCTCTTGGTGGGTTGAGTGTTCTTTTCCCATTGACTTTGGGCTTGACCGTGTGACTAGCTTTGGCTAATGGGATATTAGTGGAGGCAATGCAAGAAGAATAACAGGCTTGAGTGACCTTGCCCAGTAGGGTCTGCCTCTTCGTGATTTCACCATTGTTAGGAGAAGAATATTTGCTGGGGAGTTGCTCCCACTTCTGCCTAAGCCTCAGGATGAGTCACAAGGAGCAGGCCTAAACCTGATCTGCATCCTGGAGCAAAGGCAAGCTGAGCTCAGCTAGGATCATGTGAACCCCAACAGACCCATAGACCCATGAATAAGAAAAGCAAATATTTGTGTTTAAACCAATGGGATTTTTGAGGTTGCTTGTTACACAGCATTAGCTGACTATTACAAGTGGGAAAACTGAGAAAAAGGCATTTTTTTTGACATAGCAATTATTTATATTCTGAAATGTGTTAATAAATGATGTATCTTAACAACTAGTAGCATTTTTAAAGTAGAGAAAATAGAGAGTGTTTATAGGTGGATTATAATCTCATATGGAACATTTAGAGAATGTTGACTTAAATCCCCATTAAACTCCATTTCCAAAATTTTCTTAAGTTTAAAGTAACAAAGAGAGGGGTCAGTGTTTACCTGTTGGCTGAGAAGGCAGTAGACCAAGAAGATGAAGAAGCCCTGGAGGCTATTGATGATGGTGAAGAGGTAGGCCATGACCTGGGCAGCTGGACCCACTTGTAGGAAGCCCAGACACCATGTGCAACCCAGGATAAAGAGCTGAGCTGTTGCTTTGAAAGCCAGCATCCTGGGAGGAGGAAGTCAGAGATTAGGATGTTGAAAAACTAATAAAGAGCATGAACACCCCTCTAGTTAGCTGTTAATAGTGAGAACTCTGGAGTTAGACTACCTGGGTTTAAATGGAAGCCAGCACTGGCTACCTGTGTGATCTTGGGAAAGCTGCTTTACCTTCTTGCAACTCAGTTCCCTCATCTTATTTTTATTTTATTTTATTTTATTTTTGAGATGAAGTCCTGCTCTGTTGCACAGGCTGGAGCACAGTGACATGATCTCGACTCACTGCAACCTCTGTCTCCAGGGTTCAAGCGATTCTCCTGCCTCAGCCTCCCCAGTAGCTGGGACTACAGGCATGCACCATCATGCCCTGCTAATTTTTGTATCTTTAGTGGAGACGGGGGTTTCACCATGTTGACCAGGCTGGTCTCGAACTCCTGACCTCAAGAGACCCACCCATCTCGGTCTCTCAAAGTATTGGGATTGCAGGTGTGAACAACCGTGCCCAGCCTCAGTTCCCTTATCTTAATAATTGTCCTATTTCATGGGGTTGCCATAAAGATTACGTGAGACTTTAACATGGGAAAGTATTTAGAATAATGTATGGGACAAAATTAGTACCACACATACATAAGGCATTTAAAAACCTGGATGCTTTTTCTCTCTCTCACTCTCATCATTTATAGACAGGGGTCATATAATTTTTTTTTTTTTTGAGATGGAGTCTCGCTCCATTGCCCAGGCTGGAGTGTAGTGGTGTGATCTCAGCTCACTGCAACCTCCGCCTCCTGGGTTCAAGCGATTCTCCAGCCTTAGCCTCCCGAGTAGCTGGGATTACAGGTGTGCCGCCACGCCCAGCTAATTTTTGTATTTTTAGTAGAGACAGGGTTTCATCATGTTGGCCAGGCTGGTCTCGAACGACTGACCTCAAATGATCCACCCACCTTGGCCTCCCAAAGTGCTGGGATTATAGGTGTGAACCACCCCGCCCGACCGGGGTCATATAATTTGTTATTCAAACAGGAAGGCTTTTGTGATCAAAAGGAGGTGTAATGTTCCTAACAGAAAGAAATAATAAATGTTTGAGGTGATGAATACCTTAAATACCCTGATTTGATCATTGCACATTTTATGCATGAATCAAAATATCACAAATACTTCGTAAATGTATATAAATATTATGTATCAATAAGGATAAAAATAATAATAAATAAAAGGGGTACTATTAATAATTACATTGTGTCAACAGACGTAAACTGAGACTGTTCCAGGTAAGCTGAGATATGAGGCCATCCTACTTATAGTCTTTACAGCATATATACACATAATATATATACATATATATTTTATATATGCTATCATAATATATAATCACTATATATTGTATATATAAAATATGTATATTTATATATGTATATATAAAATATCATACATTATGTTATATATGCATAGAATATATTATATATGTATGCATATATACACATATATATGTATATGTACATTATATGTATCCCTAATTATTAAGGAGATTACATAAATGAGTAAAGCTAATTGAGGAACAGTTTGTACAGTGTGATCCTATTGTGTGTGTGTCGGTCTGTTCTACTTAAAGTGCACAGAGAAAGCTCTGGGAAAATGTCATAGATATTTTATCTCACATATCATACAGGCTCTTAATTCTGGCTTCCTGGGAAGTGGAAGTAGCAGGAAAAGAGACAATCACTTTCACTTTTTACTGTATATATTTCAAAAGACTATGAAAAAATTTAACAAACTTGTCTTATTTTATTTTATTTTTTTTTGAGACGGAGTCTTGCTCTGTCGCCCAGGCTGGAATGCACAGGCGCAATCTCGGCTCACTGCAAGCTCCGCCTCCCGGGTTCACACCATTCGCTTGCCTCAGCCTCCTGAGTAGCTGGGACCACAGGCGCCCGCCACCGCGCCCGGCTAATTTTTTGTATTTTCAGTATAGACAGGGTTTCACCATGTTAGCCAGGATGGTCTCCGTCTCCTGACCTCATGTGTGATCTGCCCACCTCAGCCTCCCAAAGTGCTGGGATTATAGGCGTGAGCCACCGCGCTGGGCCAAACTTGTCTTATTTTTATGATTAAAATGAAAACAACAACAAATTACAAGCTCAAATTAAAATGGATACTGCAACATAAAAATACTCATACCTTAAGATATTTTGAAATATTATACAAAATGTATTTTAATCTAGATTCTTATTGAACCTATTACACACAATTGGAGATAAACATTTAAATTGGTATGTGTACAGAGAGTTTAATTTGTAATTTAAGCATGTGATTTAATACAGCTAGATTGATCTCTATTGGCTGGGGTGGATATAGCTTTGTGACATTACCAGATTAATTTTTAGGGTTTCTATATGATTTAAGCTTTTTAGTAACTGTTGGATTAGCAAATCTGAGTTGGTTGCTTTTGATAAAAACATACTCCTGTGTGCATTTTGTGTAGTGTGGCGGTAACAAATGTTTTTCTCCCTTTTCATCTTCCTTTTAGTGTTAGATCTCTTCCCCTTTGAGTTTTAAAACAAGGCACACGGTCACTTGGTTAGAGACTACATTTCCCACCTCCCTTGCAACTGGGTGTTATCATGTGACCAAGATCAGCCAATGAGATATGAGCAAATGTGGCAAGTGCAACTCCTATACGACCTCCTTCCCATGGATGGGATATTGACAAGGGCAACATCCTTCTAGAGGATGGTGGAGCAACAAAGTAGAAAGAACCTGAGACCCTGAAACACTGTGTGGAGCAGAGCTTCTTTATTAGCCCTGAACTGCTCACTTCTGGGTTGCAACATGAGAGTGAAATAAAGTTCTATTTTATTCTTTTTTTTTTTTGGACATCTTTTTCTCATAGCAGCTTGGCTTGTATTCTAGCTAATACAGGTTCTCGTTAATTGTGATGGTGGAAGATTACAGTGGTCTTGCTAGTCCTGGGAGCATGGCTGTTGAGTGTACGCGTGTGTGGATATGTAGGAGGGATTGGCAGAAGGAAAGGGAGTAGGAAGTACCATTTGTCACATCCTACCTTGTGTTCTGGATAGTTGACACTTCACTATTGAGGGAGGAAAGTTTTCTTTTCAAAATCCAAAAGACCAAGATAAAAAATACTAAATTCACCTGCAGGACCAATACAAACAAGGCAGAATGCAAGTTAAAATAATGTATGGTTTCCACTTTAAATTGCACACAGGAGTCCAGCCTCCCTGTACATGGGATTGAACTGGTAGCAGTGGAAAATGGATCCACCCAACAGTGGAAATGCAAGCCCTTTGTACCATCTTGTACCCAGCACTTCTCTTGGTTCTTGTTAGTTTGGGAAAATCAAAGGCACATACTCACAGAGAAAATGGCACAGACTGGGCCAAGGAAACCCCAGATGAATCCCTGGTCCAGGTGGAGCCAGCATCTAGGAACAATGGGAAAAGAGATACAAAGAGAGATCAGAGAAAGTGCATGAGATCAACATAAAGTGACTCTTTTCCTACCAGAGAATTGTTTCCAGTTTCTCTTGAAAGTCAGCTGATGACAATCAGCAATTTTTTTTTTTTTTTGAGACAGGGTCTTGCTCTGTTGCCCAGGTTGGAGTGCAGTGGTGCGATCTCTGCTCACTGCAATCTCTGCCTCCTGGATTCAAGTGATTCTCCTGCCTCAGTCTCCTGACTAGCTGGGATTACAGATGTGCACCACCACACTGGCTGATTTTTGCATTTTTAGTGGAGATGTGGTTTGGCCATGTTGGCCAGGCTGGTCTTGAACTCCAGATCTCACATGATTTGCTCCCCTTGGCCTCCCAAAGTGCTGGGATTACAGGCGTGAGCCACCACCCCTAGCCAACAATCAGCTTTGATTACACATTTTGATTGCAGCTTTGATCCACACATCACATGTGACAGCCACTTTCACTTTTTACTTTATATATTTCAAAAACTATGAAAAAAAATTTAACAAACTTGTCTTATTTTTATGATTAAAATGAAAACAACAACAAATTATGTGCTCGAATTAAAATTGATGCTGCAACATAAAAAGTACTCATAGCTCAAGGTATTTTGAAGTAGAATTATACAAAATATATTTTCATTTAGATCCTTATTGAACCTATTACACACAATTGGAGATATACATTTAAATTGGTATGTGTACAGAGTTTAATTTGGAATTTAAATATGTGAGTTAATATAGCTAGATTGATCTCTATTGGCTGGGGTGGACAGCTTTGTGACATTACCAGATTCTTAGGGTTTTTATAGAATTTAAGCTTTTTAGTAACTGTGGTGTGATTCTAGGATAATAAGCTAGGAGGAACATCGTCCTGTTAAGCATTTTAGGCCGGGTGCGGTGGCTCAAGCCTGTAATCCCAGCACTTTGGGAGGCCGAGACGGGCGGATCACGAGGTCAGCAGATCGAGACCATCCT